TACACCCTGGGGAACATTTTCATCCTCATCCTCGGATGAATCTAAAAACACGTCTGCCTGTTTCTCTATGTTTACATCAGGAGAAGCATTTGATTCCCTATCCATTGAAATTTGAACTTCATTATCTTCATTATTTTCATCAAATAATTGATCTAAATCAATCTGCTCGTTGACCGGCTTGTAATAAGCTGGATCTACTTTCCGCAGTCTAGAGGTCAGGACGTGTAATTCGCGTTTATTTACAGCCCAATTACCAATAGGATTGATCACAGATAATGATTCAGTGGGGGTCCCTGTCACTTTATAGGGCCCTGTCCACCTCAAGGTTAATTTCTTGGATAGATTAATTACGCCCCTGGGTGACATATAATATACTATATCTCCCAGGTTTATATTTGAACGTCCCCGGGGTATCTTAATTTCTGCGGACACTGGGATGCATAATTGCTCATGCTTCGCCATTTCTTCATGTATATCTTCAATATGTTTTGACAGATTTAACACAAAATTAGTCCATTTTAAGACACCCTGTACATGATTATCAGGGAAGTATACATCTAGGGGGACCCGGGGGTTTCGTCCATACATCGCATAGTACGGGGCTACCCCTGTAATCCGGTTTTTAGATATATTGATTTCAAATATAGCTGCGTCCACCTTTTGAGCCCAGGAGCTGGGGTTAGAACTATCATCAGACCTAAGTATTTGTCCGAGTGTTCTATGAGCCCTCTCAACTCTGTTTCCCTGGGGGCTATAGGTGGGAGTTTGCGTCATTTTAACACCCATTTGCTTACAAGTGTCTTGAAATAAATGACTCATCAGAGAGGATCCATTATCAGTGTGAATCGTCTCTGGCATTCCATGAACTAGGAAAAACCTATCAATCAATGCATTTAATATGGTTTTTGTTTCTAGGTCTGGAATTGGTACAGCTACAAGATATCTAGTGAACCCATCCTGTACAGTGAGTATGTGTCGGCAGACGATCCCTTTATATCTGCAGGGAGTCAACGGACCTACTGTATCCAGGTAAACTCTTTGAAATGGGTATCCTAACATCTCATGGTGCTGTATTTTGTTCTTAGCAGAGGGTATTGAATTCATTTTCTGTATACAGGGTACACAGTTAGTCACAATTAAAGTAACCAAGTTATTCATACCTGGGAAAAATGCCCTAGCTCTTAATTTGTCAAGAGTTTCGGTCATCCCGCGGTGACCAGCATGAGCTAGTTCTACCAATTCTCTCTGCATAGAACGGGGTACACAAATCCTGGGAGGACTTGTTTTACCATCCATTACAGGTCTTTGTAAATACAATAGTTCATCTTTCACAAAAAGAAAGTTAAACCAGTTTAGATACAAATTAGTTATGGGGGGCAATTGCTTCCGGTCATCTTGGTTTGGCAATTTTCCGTCCTTAACTATATCTATGACCAACTGTAAGGGGTAATCTTTCTTAGTTTCTAGTTTCCAATCTTTTGTCAGATTTTGTGTCACCAAAAACTTAGAGTTAGTTTCTATGTTAAACACATAGGGTTCCTTTGATTCTTCAGATTGATTGATTGATTTATCTTTTGTAATTTGATAAACATCATCAATTTCTGAGTAAACCAAATATTTATCTGGGTTTTCCTTGTCCTGCTCATCTTGAGGCATCTCAGTCCTGGACAAAGCATCTGCAGCTAAATTTACTTTTCCTGGTCTATGCATAATATCAAAATCAAAGGATGATAAATACACTAACCATCGAGCAAATAATCCCCGAGCTTCTTTCAGCCCTTTAAGGAATGTTATAGCTGAAGAGTCTGTTCTAATCAGGAATTTCCGGGCCCGGAGTATATGTTCAAACTTCCGGAGGCCTAGAATGACCGCCAACAGCTCGCCCTTGTGGGCTGGATACTGTCTCTGAGCTGTATCAAGGGATTTGGAGAAGCAGCCAATAAAGCGTTCCTTCCCGTCTTGTACTTGGGAAAGAACGCCTCCTGCTGCTACTCCTGAAAAGTCAGTATCTAGGATAAAAGGTTCTGTAGATTTATAATCCGGATAAGCCCTAATTGGCTTAGTCAGGAACAGTCCCTTAAGTTGGTTTATCCTAGATATTTCATCAGGGTTTAATTCCAAGTTTTTCTCATTTCTATATTNAAGTGAACACCAGGAAACTGATTAACTCTTTAAATTGAGTATAAATGAGGTCACATGCAGAGGCGGGTTCTAACCGTTCATGGAGGGCTTGCACATATTCCTTCCTGCTCATTCTCCTGTACAAAGACATAGAAGGTTCCATATCTGACACGATAAATGAGCAGGGAGGACGGAATGATTGAAATAATGTATTTTTGAAACATATTTCTCCCACTCCTAATGTACGGGCATATCCCCCAATCCGTACCACATAATCTTTAAAACTATCTTGTCCATCAAAACTCCACTTAGTTTTGGTGAACAAGATTTCGTTTTGGTTGGGTACATAACGGTCTTCTTCCTCTATACCTAGGGGTTCCAGTCTATCCAGCACGGAGAACTTCCCTTCCTTCGATGCGAAGTCAACGACAGAAGGGTCATTCTGTGCCAGATTCGGAGGGGGAGCAGGTAAATCCTGGGGATTCTGACCGGAGATGCGTCTGTTACCTCCGTTCTGAATCCTCCGTTCATGTTCTGCTCCATTCCTCCCTCCTCCTCTCTCAGCAGGTGGTCCTCCATTAGCGTTGTATACTGTCTGGAGGCTACCTATTGCTTGTAGAGTGGGGTCGGGAACTCCTCCTTCAGCCTGCTGTACTCCTTCTACAGGGGGGAGAGCATTTCCTCCCGCCCCGGTGGAGGATTCAGCAGGCTGGGGGTTAGGATTATTCTCATCTCCAGGCATTGTCAAAGATTAGTTAATAATCAACCTTTAACACTGCCCTGAGTATAACTTTTTTGAGAATATTTAGAGGGTGTGATTTATACTGTTTTTATCCTTAATTCAATTGAACTCGGGACTTTACAGTTTTAAACTTAATTCCTTGGAACTCAGTTTATTGATTTATTTCTATTCCTAAGAACTTGAAATAATTGTTATATATATATTTCTCCGAAAAAACTTAATTCCTTAGAACTCGGTTTATTCGTTTATTCCAAATTCTAGTAAATTTGAAACTGAGAATTATATATAATTATTCACAGGGATTTGGGGTAACCCAAGTGAATTTTAAGTCACAGGGATTCGTTAGAACCCAAGTAACTGTTAATCTCTAATTCCGTAGAACTTGAGATTATAAAATATTAGCTACAGGGATTCCGTAGAACCCAAGTAATAGTTAGTTTCTAATTCCGTAGAACTCAAAAACTGTAAAATTTTCAAATAACTGTTTTAACTCTCTCTTATTTTAGGATGAAGTGTTTGAGAACTTCTATCTACCCTACACTTTAGGTACTTAACTATTCTTACAGAGTAACTAACTAAAAGTCCGTCTGTCTAAATAATTTAAGTCCGGGGTATACCTGAAGTCCTTTTCTTATCCTGGTTGTCAGCAGAATGAGCAGTTTTTGCCATTTTCCTGGTGCGTTTATCTCCACCCATGGTTGAATATTGTGTTATGGGTTTGAAACAGAGTATAGTGCAGATCTTGCTCCTATTGGCGGATAAGATGATACACCTCTGCTATGGCCGGAGCCTGGTATATTCCTGTACACTATTGGTCGGTACAGTTTCTACGCGCAACCCTGCACATGTATTCCGGAGGGTGAGAAGGGGGGTTGACCCCTCCAACCCTGGGATAAACGCCAAGCCCAGTCTGGTCCCATTATTTATTGTTATGGTCCAGCTTGGCTTCTGTTTTAGAACTCAGCACGTTTTTCAACAGTCATTCAACTAAATTTTCAAATATTGAGGCCAAGTAGTTTAGGGTTCAATATCCAATATAGTTAAATCCATTAAAATTTATTGCTTTACACATCCCCCTACCACCCCATTGAGGGGGGGGAAATCTCCTTTTGCCAGTACAACTGTATTGTACTATGTACTGTGTACTATGTACTATGTGTTATGTACTATGTACTATGTACCATATACGTTTTACATATGTATTCAGTAATATAGAATCAACAATATGTAATTAATATCTGCTTGAACACATTCTGTTAATTTGTTAAAACACGTTTTAGCAGATAAATTGTTAACGTAGGCAATATAATGAAAGTATATAATATTTACTTAAAATTTAAAGTTAGACACATCAACAGTTTTCATTGTAACTGATGTATATAGTCCTTAATATCTCTACTTTTCATTTATAACATAAAGAAGGAGAAGAAGGGGGGGGGGTGAAGGTCTGTTATCCAATCTGTATTGTTAGAATTTTTAATGTTTTCCAACTGTTACTAACAGATTGTTGCTGACTAAAACCCAAACAAGCTTTATATTTGAAAGTTTTTATTACTTTATTTTGCTCCATCACTAATTGCCATTTTATCCCCCAAGCTTTCAAAATATGAAGATTGGAGGGGTGCAAAAAGGGGAGGGGGGGTGTAGGTTCGAGTTTTAAGTTCTTTATTAATAACTAATTCGGATTTATTCATTAGAAAACCCAAATTAGGCATAAAGAAACACCTTTAGGCTGCGCCAATTGTGGTATTCTGATACCACATATTAGAACATCAAAAACGTGTGTACTTAAACCATTAAATAGATGAGATTTCACTTCAAGTACTTAGACTTGTATTATCTATCATCTATGTAACCTGATGACGCTGCAGATCGGGTTAGTCCTATCACCTGGGCCTAACACCTCATGCGTTGTCATATATTTGCAACCTGGCATTACAATACTTCAGTTACCTACATGTATCGAGATAACCTTATTTTTCTTAATGTGCGTGCATATATATAAACACCCTAGTGATAAAGTCATTAATATGTATAAGTATATTTATTGATACATTTAATCTTACATTTATAAATGCATACATAAATCAGATACATTGGTCCGGGATGTACTGATCCAATCTGGTCTCTCCGATCTCACATTGTATCTAAGGGACTGTTCACCCTTTTCTGGTTCAGTCCGGAATACAACAATTCATAAAAACATGCATTAATTGATAATGTTTTGTTGAAAACCTGAACATGTAGAAATCAATAAATTTGCCTGAATGTACCACATGAATGTACAGGCCAGGACGAGGGCTTGTCAACAACAAGATAGTTTGAATCTTCATGAACTATTCTCAATCTCCTAAACCCAAACCAGTTAAAGTAAAAATAAGAACGCAAAAGACGACTTAAGAAAATAAAGAAGTGGTTTCAAAGTTTATACATGTTTAGTTTACGCAGGATTTCAGGTTTACGGGTTAAGTTATACAACCAACAACTGTTTAGTTTACGCAGGATTACAGGTTTACGGGTTAAGTTATACAACCAACAACTGTTTAGTTTACGCAGGATTTCAGGTTTACGGGTTAAGTTATACAACCAACAACTGTTTTCCAATAATATTTTGGAATACAATGTTAAGATTTGCCACAACCGGTTTATTACAAGAGCCATTGAAATTTCCGTAACCTATTCGTGAAAGTTTCGTAATGTTTCAAAATAATTTTTTTGCCCCTGATTCCAATAGTTTTCTTTTTTGTAGAGTGTACTAGATATCGAAAAATTAGGAAAACAGAAATCTTTTGAGATATTGTATGATAAATTTTTAAACACAGAAAATTTTTAAATAAAATATTGTCTCGAAAAAATAGGTAGAATTAAACCATATAACTTTCCGTAAAGTAATGCAACTGTTCAGAAATTCCTAGATTGTTCAGAAAAACTTCCGGAACAAGATTCAGAAACCACAACAGATTTCCGTAATATACTTGGGAAAAGATGCTAGATTTCCAGTTNGAATCACAATATTCATATTAGTTTCATTTTCGAAATTTGTTTTGTACCGGAAATAATGTGGACTTTTATTTAAACTTTAAGACTTTCAGTGCATTAAAAAGAAAAATAAATAATAATACTTATATTACATACGTAATACTAATAATAAATATTAAATAAATAATAAGCACTTAAATTAAACATAAGAAATCTAGAAATCTAAACTATTTTGTAAATTACCAAGTCGCAAACTAAATTACAAAATTTTATGTTAATCTGGGTTTCCTGTCTAGAATGGGCGTCTCGTGCAAATGTCCCGTTCTGGTGATAACATCTCCTTCCCTACAGTTTAACATTTTTTCAAGACGGAACATATTTGCTCTAAATCGACAAAAAGGTCGACCTTGTGTGACTTAAAAACGACCTTTGCAACAACTTACATAATGGTTAAGGGAGTTGGAATCCGATTTTATGTAAATCTCCACACCATGGGTCAACGTCCTAGGATTTAACGTAAATATTTTCAGGGTCCAGTAAAGACTCTATGTTATGTTCCAAAATCAAAAATAAACGTTTGTTTACTTAAAATTTATGATGATTATCAAATTATCATGATTACTTTTAAAAAGATATGATCTATATTGTCCTGTAACTTATTAACCAGTAGACTTGCACTAAAATATTAAGATAGATATTTTTTGTCCCCCCCCCCAGCATATCCTGGTTTTCAAGCACCCCAGCAGATAGGGTTAAGATTTTTGTAAAATCAGATTTCAACTCAACTCAACTTTGCCATAAGTCATGACAAAGGTCGTTTTAAGTCACACAAGGTGTACCTTTTGAGCCAAGTAAAAGCACAGCGGACCGAAAATAAAACAATAGAGTGCGGTTGATTTTATCGAATTTTTCTTAATTTAATCCTTTTCTATTTTTTTACAATAGAAAAAGAAAAAAATTGTGAAAATTTCTAGGGTTTTCAACGAAAGCAAATTTTAGCAAAAATCTGCTTGCAAATTCCGCAGGTTTGCGCGAAAATTAATTTTGCGTAAAAATTTACTCTGAAATGAATTTCACAAAAATGGTTTTGAGATGGGAAAAATAATGCATGACCTTGACATCTAAGATGTAATTTTACATTTGCCATGCACTGTAATTGCACAAATTACGTATTTGTTTGCGCAACCCGATAATTCCGCACAAGAGTTTTCCTTTCCGCTGGAAACCCTAAATACTTCATAAACCCATAAATTTAAAAAAGAGTGAAAGAACTGAATCTACAAATGTAAATATATATGTGCAATAACACAGCTAAACTACACCTGACAATATAATCCCTACTAACTAGCTCCAGGTTGACCGCTATTTGTCCAGTTTTCACCTCCAGCTCTATGATATGTAAGAGCTTGAGAGATAATGCAAGCAATGTCATTGAAAAAAAATTAACTGGCTTAATTACACATATTTTATGACAAATACAAAACATGTTCAATTAAACTAAAGCTTAGAGTGTGAAGAAAAGCAATGTTAGTACAAATGAACACATTTTAGAAAGAATGAAGCAAAAAATGTCCAATCAAATTAAAACTTTAAATTTCACCATTGTGTCCATATAACTTAAAATTAGTACAAATTAACAAGATTTAAGTTTTAGTTCGATAACTTAAAATTTAAAATTTCACCTTTTTGCCAATTATAACTTAGTAACTAATTAATTATAACATATAAGCAAATTTTATTGAACTGTTCATTTGCACTGATGATAATTTGCAAAAAAATTTATTCAGTTTTGAAGGGATTCCCCCTTGAAAACTGAATAAAAAGTGTGTTTGAAGAAATAACTTTTAGTATTTCAATGATCATTTAATATAAAATTGCTGTTAGGAAACCTAAAATGTGTAAAGTTGCACTAATGTTCAAAAAGAGTACAGATCGGCTGACTTCAGTGCAAATGTACTTTAGTCCAATAAACAATAAATAATACATTTCATGAAAAATGTAAATGTAAATATATTACAGAAAAAAAACATGTGATTTTAATAAAAATTAAATTATTTCTCAATTATTATTTCTTAGGTCTAATAGGCAGTCAAAACTAATGATGAGATTGTTGCAACATTTTTATAGTCTTTTCTCCAGATTATCGTGAGTTTATTTAGGAGTATGTATTTGTCACACCTTGGATTTCAGAAAGCACCATTTTAAAAATCTTTGGTTTTAATATTTTTTTTTGTCTTTTAATCAATTTTGGTATGCTGGAGTTAACTATGTCTAATATTCGACATACATCAAACTGTGTGAGAAAACATGATTGACAATTTTTAATATACAGAATAGGGTATATGTTTTCTTTTAAAAATAATTCCACCCCAGATATTGAGTAAGGAAATTAATTTAGTTTTTTTTCTCTAAAACACCTTTTGTCCCCAAGAGCATTGGAAAACATTAACAATAAACAACTAAATGTTAAGGCACACTACACACAGTCCCAAAATATCACTCCCCTATAAAAAAATATATTTTTTTTTATGAAATTTAACTCAAAATTGAAATAAAGCTCGATATCTCTTGAAGCTGCACATTTTCCTAACAGTATGGGAGAATTATTCGTAAAACGAGTAGTAAGATATTTACTACAAGTACACTGTACAATGTAAAAAAAAAAAACTTAATAAGTGTGCACATTTTCCTAACAGTATGGGAGAATTATTCGTAAAACGAGTAGTAAGATATTTACTACAAGTACACTGTACAATGTAAACAAAAAAACTTAATAAGTGTGCACATTTTTGAGACAAGACAAAAACAATTAAATAGGATTATTATTTGATAAATATTGTACTGAGTAGTTCCTAAGAGGCATGTTAGCTCCAGGAAAGGATCTAGATTTTACAACAGATCTGCATACAGGAGGATTTTTGAATTAACTTGACCAAGAGGTGACATGACATCAGGTCGGACATGAACTTTTGTTTTAAAAAAATCTTCCTTGATTTAGTGATTTAAAGGAAACTGTAATTAATAAGTTTCGCAATAAAAATATTTAAATACTAAATACTGATAACCCCAAATCGTCAGGCATAATTACTTTCACCCCCCCCCCCAATGTCCCCTCACTACTACAAAATGTGGTGTGCTCATAAAAATCATCTTCCTGTAGGTAGCTAGATATGGGTTAACTTTTCTCAATCCGTCTTCGAAATAGTATTTAGGACCACTGCGAAAATAATATATAATAATAATATCATATTTGTTGATTTCGATTGAAGTACAGTCATTTAAAACTTTGACCTTTAATTACTATCAAGATCAAAACATGAGGATCAAGTTTTTCAAGTCCAATTATATTACTGCCTTTTAAATATTTATAACAATGTAAACCATACACTTTTAACTTAAAATGACATATGAAGACGATACAATCGGGTTAAGGAATTCTCTCCATTCTTGTTAGAACAAAATATATTTTTTTTGAGATTTTTCTAAATTAACTTATCCAAGTTTACGAAAATTAATTAAAATTGCGAAAATCTCGAGGCATCAACGATTTTTTATATTGTTTGGATTTGATTCAGTAACTTAGGTTTTTTAGTATGAAGAACTATCTACATTGCAGAAAATATGACTTTTTTATATAAATTTCCTTATATGTTCTGAATTCAGTATCGGTAAGGAATCGTAAAAAGCTCGTTTCTCCTGAAAAAAAAAACTTCTCACGTAACGAAAAATAATGTTTAAAAATATTTACCTTGGATATTACACCTAACTGATTTTCTTTAACCAATTCCGGACGCCAGTTAACATTTTTGAAACTAAAATATGTATTTATTCAAAGCCATTATTAGTAGTCAAGAATATTCACCTCGCATGGGTGATGCAAAACAAATTATATCAGTGATCCAATTGAGCAGAGCTTACTGAAGGACCAGAGCATAGATTGATAACAATACATATATAACACTAGATGTCGTCCTTTTAAGATTTAGGGTTTTTCGTTCACAATAACCCTAAGCCAGAAGCCCAAAGGAGTTCCGCGCATGCTCTCTCTCTGTCTTGTCATTCAACGTGGCATGCACGTAACTCTAATTGGCTTCAGCCTCTAGGTTATAGTGAACAAAAATCCCTAAATCTAGAAAATACGACATAAAGTGTTCTGTTTATATTATTATTAATCTATGGACCAGAGCAGTTTACCCTCTTGAATCCTGTTCCGAGTCCTCACAAATAAACGATCTGGATCCAAATGATAAACTTTCGAAAAAAATTGCTCTCACTGAGTAACAACACTCGCATTATGCGAGTGCATTTAAGTTTTGAGAATTTGCAAAACTTAAAAAAATATTCATAAATTGCAAATAAATTTCGCAAATTTTGCACAAAAAATTTGGTCATTTCGCGAAAACCCTAATCCTAAGCAATCCAATTATAGATCAAAAATCTGTTTACTTTTTCTCATATTTAATTAGGCCCACTTGAACCCATTCTGATGAATAGAACCCGTAGCAAGCAAGACATTTGGTAATATCTCAGTAAATGTTAATAGCAGCCGGTTCTTTTTTAATGTAGACTCAAATAATTGCCTAGGAGCAGGATATGATGTCAGATTGTCGACAACTCTTTCCGGAGACTTGGAACCTATGAAAATTGACCTCCGTCGGCTCCAATTTTTTATATCTGGCCATGTTGGACTTTAATAGCCCATTTTTTAATATATACTCCCAATGACCCCTAAAATATATTAAAACAAAAATAAAAAATGTCCTCAAGTTTTTTATGTCAAAACAGGGTGTCAAAAATTGATTTTTTAAATGCAAAAAGCGACAAATTCTGATTAAAAATATCGCAGGAAAAGTGAAAATATTATTTAGATTATTATCTAACACATGGAAGAAAAAAAATTTTTTAAAAATTAATTAGTGTTCAATATTTTTTTGTTGACAAATCACACTTTTTTTTGCATTTTCCGCCCTAAAAATGATGGAGGCCGGTTCTAATTTAAAAAATGTTGTTTAATAATAACATAGGAGCAGGATATGAAGTCAGATTACCGATATCTCTTTCCGGAGACTTGGAACCTCTGAAAAGTAACCTATGTTGGCTCCGATTTTTGATTTCCAGCCTAGACATATAGATGGCGGCCGATTCTAATTACCTAGGAGCGGGATTTGAAGTCATATTACCGATATCTCCTCCCGGAGACATGTATCCTCAGTAATTTGACCTGAAGTTATGTACTGTACACTGGTACTGCAATTGTACGCATGTTTACAGTTAAAAACCGGTTTTTATGATTATCATTGTTTTTCATTGTAATCGAAGAAAGGAGATTATATGTGTTTTAGTCATGAATTTTTTTATGCACGACTCAAAACGGCAATACACCCCACACCAAACTACCGTTTTAATAATTCTAATTCTGAAGGTTATATTTGTGGGTAATTATTTTTCAAATAAATAAATATATATATACCCATTATACTTAAAAGCACCTTATGGTCCCATTAACAGAGATGCAGATCCTCGACCTGATGTTCCTATGTCAGGGGATCGAAAAATGCACAGGGTTAGTCTTTAGCATATTACATTTTGACGATGTATAATTTTATTTTGTCTGGATGTATTACTTACTATTCAAGGTTCAAAGTCTCTGGGAAAATAAAATATTTTTTCTCTCTTTATTTTCTATCTGTAATCTAGAAGTCATTATGAGTGTTTTATATACTGTATATGCATATTGCATAGTCTGATCTATTTATTTCGACCGAGTCAGTAATCTGACTTCATATCCTGCTCCTAAGGAATCATAGAACCGCCCACCATCTGTATAAGGATGGCAAATGTAACGTAAACAGTATATTCGTTAACATAATACTTAAATAACCTTCCCAAAGCTAACTAAAAGTTAATTTTTGAACATTTTTATTCGATTAGATAATAGTATAAATAATAATTTCTTTTTTCTTTTCCTCTTGATCTCATTTTTTAATTTAAAAATATCGAGAGAAAAGACATTTTTCGACACTATGCGCTGACGTCAAAAACTTGAATTAATTTTTCATGCATTTTATGGGCCACAGAGTATTTTGAAAGAAAATTTAGGCTATTTATGTTCATTGTCTGAAGTCCGAAGATAAAAAAGGTTTCTATTTTTCCGGAAAAAAATTTGTATTTTGGAAATTTGTTGCGTAAACCAGAATTTCAGGATAATACCGGATCAAATGGAAACTTAATGTTTACGGTTTCCGTTACGTAAACCGGAAATTTTTCCAGTTTATGGAATGGAAACCGTAAAATTTCCAGTTTCCATTTCGTAAACCCGAAATTTTTCCAGTTTACATAACGTTAACCATAAAATTTCCAGTTTCCATTTCGTAAACCGGAAATTTTAACACAATATTAGACATAGAAAGCAATGTTATAACATTAAAAGTTAAAACTTAAAACATTAAATACGCATTTAGTTCTACAATTATATATTCACAAATATTTCACTATAGTTCATCATGACTATTTTACATTTACAGTTTTCATTTTCCCCACAATATTTTGACAAATTAGTCTTTATTTTTCAAGAGGGTCATCGGATAGGCTAATGACCCCTCCCCCCTCCCCCTCCGTATTTGAACAGGATGGGATAAAATGAACCATATAAATAAGAGTTTATAAAAACAAGGCTTTAAACTGGTGAATTAAAAAAATAATAAATTTCGAGTTTTTTTACCGCATAAATTTTTAACTAGTTTTAAACTTTCCCTTGTGCCACGTGAGTTGCCTCATAAATGTTGGGCTCGGTCGGTTCAGCTGTTCGGACGTTTAATGGATACAAAGGGACAAACAGAGAAGCAAAGTATATAAATAGAGTGAGAACCAGAAAACTCTGGAATAGGAGGACGACTTTTAGCCTTAAATTATGACTCTTAATAGTTCAATGAACATGAGACACGGAAATTACGTAGTATATACTATGCTGTATACAGACCAATTTAAAAGTGATTTTATAAGTTACTATTTAACCTATTTGCTTTGTAACAACATCAATTAGACTCAAGGATTGCTATACATGTCGTCTTCCTTTCCACAGTTTTCTGTAGATGAAATTATTTGTAGACATGGCAGTCACAGTAGTATTACTTTAAATACAGCTACACCAGGCGCACATTCTATTATTCTGTAGATAGTATTACTTACTGGTTTTATCTTTTACACAAGTTTAAGATGTCTTCAACGTTTTCCGGAAAATTCTGGAACTATTGTTCCGTAATCCGGAATTTTCCGGAACACTATTCCGTAACGTTCAGTAATTCCAGAACAACGTTCCGGAAATTTCCGGTTTACGTAAAAAAAATCGTTTAGAATTCCGGAACCTTTTCCATAATGGAAATGGAAAAAATTTCCGGATCATTTCCGTACGTAAACCGTACCCCGAAATTCCGGTGGAAACCCTAATAAAAAATCGGAGCCAACAGAGGTCACTTTTTGGAGGTTCCAAGTCTCCGGAAAGAGATATATGTAATCTAACTTCATATCCTGCTCCCAAGTAATTATTTAACATTACCAGCCACCATAAAGATTGGGGCGGAAAATGCAAAAAAGTGTGATTTAACAAAAAAAAGATATTAACACCCCGTAGCCCGCGAAAAATTAATTTTTTAACATTTTTTCATCAATGTGTTAGACAATAAAAATAATATTTTTTCTTTTCTTTTCCTGCTATATTTTTTCAGTTCTCGTCTCTTTATGCATTTATAACAAATAAAAAACGCAATTTTTAACACCCTGATTTGGTATAAAAAACTTGAGGATTTTTTTCATGAATTTGAGGGGTCACTGAGAGTATATAATAATAAATGGGCTATGAAGTCCAACGAGGCCGGAGATAAAAAATCGGAGCCGACGAAGGTCACTTTTCAGAGGTTCCAAGTCTCCTGCTCAGTGCTCATAGGCGATTATATGAGTCTACATTCAAAGACAGGACCGGCTCCTATTAATATTTACAAAGATATAACTAAATGTCGTACTTGCTATGGGTTCATTCGAGTAATATTATGAAGCACTGTTAAATGATGTAATCTATATGCTTACTAGCTTAGTTGCTGCAGTTTTATTATCATTATATTATCAATGAAAACGTACACGTTACAGAATAAAATATGGATTTCTGACACATATCGGGCTACAAATACTAAGTTTCCTTGTTTTTAATCTTGAAGGCTGTATCATAGGAAGAATAACATATCTTTTTCCACCATCATTTCTGTTAAGGATCAGGAAATGCGCAACGTTTTCGGCAAACTTAAAATTTTCCAGGGGCATAATATTCGACTTAGATCTACAACAGCTTATTTTTGCCAGTCTCACTATCCGGTGCATTTTTTTTCTGAAAAAAGTAACAAATGACAAACTTGGTAATTTTGTTGCAGAATATATTTTGGTAATTTTGTTGCAGAATATATTTTGAGTATTAAGTACAGTTTTCCGCAAGTTAATTTTTTGCCGAGAATATAAGTTGGTTGCGGGGAGAGATTATGGGATCAAAAAGTGGTATCAGCAAACTCCTACAACAAATATAAACAAATAAATATTTTCTAACATCTTTTTATTTTTTTTCAGTGCTTTGGATCCATTTAATTTTGATGAAAATCCGGATCCTGGATCCGCACTGAAAAAAATGGATCCAGATTGTCTGAGAAGCTACACATTTTTTGGTTGATATTTTGCCCCTTAGATCCGGATCCGTGGATCCGTAAATTTTTGCGGATCTGGATCCAGGAAGCCAAAATGTTGCGGATCCTTAGCACTGCATTTATTTATTAAGTGTTCGGTATGTGAAAAATTTACAATCCAATCCAATCCAATCAAATCCAAAGATTTAGCTGGATTTCCCGTGGACTTCTAGAATTACGTTGACGGTTATTAAGTAAAATAACAAGTTTATTAGTGATAGAATGGTAAAAATAAATAAAAAATAAAAATAAATCTAATGTTACAGGGTAAAAAGAAGGACATATATGATTAAAGTGAAGTTTCTCTTAAAATTAGATTTTCTTTCTGCATCTCATTACTCGTCAAGTAAATATACTTTAATTGTTTAATCATAGTTTACCTGAATCCATTCTCATAAAGAAAAACACAACGATCCAGCAAAATCACAGTTTCTAATTAGCATCAATAATCAAGATATACTTCATTGATTGAACGTAAGTCTGAGGAGTATATTTCTTGAAAAATCATCCCCCCCCCCGTCACATTCCCTGACGAAGATCGTTTCTTTTGTCCAGATGTTAGTTCTAGGGGTTTATTATTCGCTGATTTTGGGAAATTAAATGATCCCCTCCACATCCGGATCATTAAAAATCATTGTCCATCCCTACCCGCCCCGGAGAAATAACTTGAATCTAATCAATTTAGAGGGTAAAGCTAATCTTAACTTAAGTTGTTATTCGTTTTTTTACCTAGTATAGGTGCTAGCGCTAACCGTAAGGTATAATAGCCAACAACCTCCCACCAGGCCGACAACTCCTAAAGGGACAAATTTTGAAATATCTTAATTACAGGTACATGGATAATAATAATAATTGCCATCTACCCGTCGTCCCTCAGTGAGGGGGAGATCACAATTAAAATGGACAATTGTTTCGTGTATATTGTAGGTTGTAGAGAAATGTCAAAGATCTTTCGAACTGGTTTCATTCAAATCGCATCGTTTCCTTTTTTCTTATATTTCCATTATTAGCTTTGTTTTCGTTAATTCTTATTTCTTTAGTGTACAAAATGATAACGAAAAGTGTTTTTAAAAATGATCAAAAATGAATATGAAATTGTAAAAAAAAACTTCCTTTTTAATAAAAATCTTTAAATTTTTTTTTTGTCGATTTAAAATACATATTTTTACATTTTAAATATACTTTTACGGATATCAGCTTATTATAAGTTTTCATTCATCAACTTTGCTAAAATGAATCGAAAATAAATTAAATTTTTCAACACAAATACAGTTGGAAGAAATGTACAAAATAGCATGTGTAAATACATTCAAAAAGGTTGATACCATTTACCATTTTTAATTGTCAACCTTACCATCTAAGACATGATTAAGTCAAATCAAATCATCAAAAATGCTCAGTTAGAAATATATTTTTAATGTAACGTTGCTTCCAAAAGAAATGCTATAATGTTTTTTTTTTGACATTTTACATACATATATTATATATTAGGGAGTTTATAAAATAAAAGGAATAACGAAAAAGGCGAATTTGCGGTGGAACAAATGCGGAATTTGCGCGCACCGATTTTTCCATTTCACTGGGAACCCTAGGTCGGTCCACTGGCATTTTTGAGATGAGTAAAGAAAACACAAAAATTGTTCTTACACAAAATTGAGTAAGTGAAAAATTAGACTATTGCAATTGGAGGAAACCCTTCTCCGACTTTGTGAAAACATTCAAAGAAAAAGAATTTTTTTCGTCTAACAATTTAAATATTCTTTTTTATAGATAATAAGAATACGTCAGTCAACGACGTATCTATTCAAGAATGCGAATTACTTCATTTTTTGAAGAATTTCCGTGATTAATAAAGTAAAGTTGTTAGCGCTTGATTGCATCATAATCAAATCTGCTTATTAAAAAACTCAAGTATTTAACCGGCACTTGAGTAGAACCACATCAGGGTACCCTGGCCAACAAGTGCAAGAGCCAGGCCAGCTAGGGCAGCCCTGAAAAAAATGTTAAGAGGTGCTCTTTTTCTTTTGAATAAGTTGAAGCTAAGAAAAATCCCCCCAATTTATTTTTTGACCATTAATTCTAGAGCCGCCAGAAAAAAGGGATTTTTTTGGCCATTAATTCTAGAGCCGCCAGAAAAAAGGAATTTTTTGGCCATTTTTGAAAATTATTTTATTTTAAGTGTTAAAATGTTCGTTAAATACTCAGTTTTTAATTAAAATTATATTTTATATCATTTTGGAAATCCCAAATACAGTTCTAAAAGACAAAATTAAAAAAAATTACATTGTTTGAAAATTCGGTCAATTTATTAGCAAAAGCTGCAAAATCGTCGATTTTTCTGCTACGCACTTACACCTTAAGACCACCAAGGTGGCAATTAAAAAAATAGTTTCTTCTCTCCTGTTTTCTATATGGTGTAATGTTTCTAAAATGTGATTATTTATTCATGTATCTTCAGAAATGTCCGACCGATAAGAATTATAAAAAAAACTGCTGGCCTGGCTCTTTTACTTGTCGGGCCGGGTACCCTTATTTGGTTCTTCTCATTGGCGGTGGAAGACTGAGTTTTTAATCAGCAGATTTGTTTGTGATGCAATAAAACGCCAACAACGACACCCAGCTTCAAACAAGCTATTAGTCACGGAACCTCTCCAATAAGTAAAGAAATTACACTTTCATTCCCATTCTTGAATATATACACGAAACCTAGTACCTCACGAATCTCTTCTGTATCGAATTCTAAAGGATCTATTCCCAGAGGTAGCTTACTTGTTGCCTGTAAAATAAAAAATTATTGATAACACATTCTAATAGAATCTCAATTTAAAATTCACTTCTTAGGTTTTCACTCGTTCCCTTCCTCCCTAATTTTCATTTAAAGAAACTTCTTATAAATAAAGTTTTTTTTTGAAGAAAAACAGAAGTAAGAAATTGAGAATGAAATAATTTTTCTGAGAACTTCGAAGAGGTAATAGATTTACAATACATTTCTGTAAAAAAAAAACATTAATAAATAACCTTAACAGCATATTCTAGAAATGTTAGTGTATGTGCACGAGAAACAGTTCTAAGAATTGAGTGTTTTAAGGCTGGATCCTTTTTCATCAGAAACTTCTCGAGCACGGCACGGTAACAGTGCACCTATATATATATATATATTAGTAGTTGATAAATACTTATTACCAGTAAACTTAAAAAATGAATCTGCGCAAAACCAACAGAATAAAGTTTTTTTCAACAAACAAGAGTTATTCTACTAGATTTAAAAAAACTATTAAACTTTCTCCATCTACGTTGAATTCAGCTTGCCATTAAACCGGTCAGGGACTTGTCCCTGATCGGGAGGGGCTGTAAAAGGAGTTGTTGAAAATCGGGTGTGGTTTTCAACTTTTTGGGAGATTACTCTTCCGTTTTACTCTAATCATTATGGCTAAGCCTTTCTTATTTGGTTAGTCATTATCAAGGCAGGATTCTAACAATGAGTTTTAAACTTTTATAAACTCTGCTGTGCTGTGGCATTGTTTTCGCTTCAAAACATATTTTGAGTATCTACAAATAATTTTCACAAAAATAAACACCCGTGAAAAATCCCATAATAAATTAACCTTCAGTTTGTCTTCTTCGCCTTCTCTTAGTCGTTCTGTGTACATCTCGATAGCATGACAAGCCAATTCAGCATTTGTATAGTTCAATTTCCATCTGGTTTCCACACCCCTGTATTATATGAAAGTTTAACAATTTTTAATGAAAAAATATTTAATTTAGGGGTACTTTTCGACGTCTCAGTCCTGTATTCTTTAAGCCCACCATATGCAATAAGCAATTGCATCCGTCAATTTTTTGACCGGCTGATGTGGCGCGCAATCAATGTGATAATTCTTATTGGTCACAAGACAGCAGGGATATCAAAAAGAAAAGATTGATTTTAAACTTCTTTATGAAAAAAGCTGTTATGTATTTCTCAAAAAGATCGCGTTGGAATTTTTTATTTCAACGTTCGTCTTCTTATTTCAGTTTTATTAGTCTCACTGAATCTTAAAAGAATACGGCATGGATTAAATTTACTGATGATCTCTTTTGCAGGGTAAAGAGTAAACTCTTAATTTAAAGTATTCCGAATTATTTTGGTTCTTCTTGTATTAAAAGATTTTATGCTGTGGTTTTGACAGAAAGTATTTATAAGCGACCCAATAAACTGTCCCTTGCTAATAGTTAAATATATACTGCCAAGTCTTACCGTAAGAAAAGAGACATTGGAAAGTGTTCCTTGATTTTCATGTAACAGCAGCCGATTGAGTTCAGGACAGTCGCCTGTAAAAGATTTTTAATTTTCGTCAATATGAATAAGCATGATAATGGTGATTTTAGAACAAGAACGGATTAACACCCTTTCGGTATATTCCTAGTAATTGAAGAAATTTACAGGTATTAAATAGCTGAAATGACCAGCGTTGCCCATGCTTTTATAAAAATTATACAATTTATCTAATTTTCATAAACGACATATTCTATGTTGAATTACCCCTTAAATGTTTTAGTTTCGTAGGTCTCAGTTTAAAAAATTACCTTTGTATCTTGGGCATACATTTTTATCAGAACAGGACCTGCAAGACAATAATAGTTACAATAGCGATGAATGGGAAAGTTTTATAAGTTTTTATATTGAAATATTGAATATTGAAATATTATACAAAACTTCATAGGCTTTTTTTTTCGCGGAAAAATAAAAATAAAAATATGACTTTCATTACAAATTATTACTACTGTATTCCCTGGGTTCCTAGCTTTCGTTTGATAAAGCCATAGTTGAAATATTTTCAATTTGTGGAGGTCATTAGAGGTCATAAGAGGTCATTAAAATTCAATTTTATTTTATTTTAGGAATTTCGAACACTAATTAGGCGTGCAGCCAAAAAATTGGAAGATTTTAACCAAAAATGAAGGCAGGCCCCCCCCCCCCTGCATCAAATGTGCCATCTCCACCATCCCCTTTAATTTAATTTTTTAATTTCCGCCCCCTCTCCCCACTTCGTAGTTAGTGATGTATATGTAAGATAAGATAACGGTAGAATCTTTATTTATATCATGTCAAACAATATCAATTTCCAATTTTTCCATTTTTCCCGTCCTTTTCGTCTACAGAAATTTCCATAACACCATGATAATAATTGAGTACATCTGATTGAGCAATTTTAAGAAACAAAAACAAAGAAAGATATATGTACAAATTCATTATAACTTTTTTATACCTAAGTCACCACAAGTATGCAGTCCCAATATACAGTATCTTAGAGATGTATCATAGATGTGGAACTTCTCCGACAGGATAGAATGAAAGGCCTGGAAATATCGTTCACGTCATTTCATTTATTAAATATGGTGTGGAAAATCAATTAAGTAAACAATCAAAAATCTTTCTTATTTTCAGGAAGAAATTGCTGGGACACAAAATTATAACAAAGTAACTAGAATACATAAAATGACTGGAAAGGGGGCAAGAGTTTCATTTGCCCCTGCATTTCAGTAAAAAGTAAACTTTAAAAGGCCTGCCTGTAAATCCATAACTGGTTGAAGCCATGCATTAACATGCACAGGAGCAGTGTGGGGAATGTGCAAACAATGTTCACCTCTTCTCTCAAGCTTCCTACAAATTAATTTAAATAGTCTTTTTTTAAATAATCCATTTTGTTTGTTTATTTTCTTGTGGTTTTTAAAATTTCTTATTGATTTTGATGGTTATTATATCGTTAGAACCTCTCGTGGGAATACAAGCCATGAACAACGATACCAGTTTTATGCACGACCAGATGTGAGGACTGGACTGCCATGGAAAATACCTCTCAAGAGAGCTTTCAGGGATCACAACTTCCCATTTTGCATAAGGGTGCAGTTATGGGTAAATTCCTTAATTCCCCTTACTGGGAAACAGTATAAAATAAAGGAACACAGGGAGAAATCCCCTATACCCTTCTTCCTACAAACCTCCTTATCTCTCTCCTACCTGCTCCACAACTCGATGTTAAAATAACTATTTGGAAAGGACTTAAAGTGTAAAAACAAGAAACAAGAAGCAAGAAGGAAATTGAAATTGAACAGAAAAAAGTGGAAGGGAAATCTCTTGACAGTAGAGATGGGTGCTGAAAGCAAGATAAACAAGAAAGAAGAAGAAAACTTTGAACAGGAAAAATTAGAAGGGGATTTGATCTATATACTATCTATTTTTTTCACTGATAGCGACTAAAGACAAATACACAGGATGGCAGACGTCCCATCCCCCCCCCCCCCTCTATGTCCTACTCAAGATAAAAAACTGGAAAATGTGTAAAACGCCCCCCTCACCCCTCTCCCCCCCCCATCAAGAAAATTTTATTGAAAGTGTGTTTTGAATGTTAGGAATGCAGGAGCTGACTCAGTTACATGACTGAAGCAAAATTTAAGACAAACAAGGGAGAGAGTAACTTTGCCACTCCCAGAATAAAGAATATAGATAAAGGGCTCCAAAAAATAGTTTTGCCTCTGCGATTTGGCTAGCTGCAGAAAACCTCCAAAAAATTCATTTATTTTTATTTTCAAAATTAGCCGAAGTATGATTGAAGGATGGACAAGGAATGGACGATCAAGAAGAAAGAATGAAAAACAAGAAATATAGATTAAGTTTCAAAATGTTTCCATCTGATATCATATTGAAATTAAAAAAATAAGGTAAAATTTAATTAAAATAAATTATTAAAGTTAAAAAATATCGTTAGAACTGACGAGGGTCAACTCAAACCAAAATATATTCTTAATAAATGTGGAACTAACAACTCCTTTTTTTTACTCTACAGAGGTTTGGTCCATCACCATAACCGAATTTTGGAAACTTTTCTGTTGACTTATTCCAGGCCCGTATCTGAGAAATTAGTCAAGTTGTATAATTCAATTACTAAGATTGTAAGCACAATGAAGGACCTGTTTGGCTTATAATATCAGAAAGGTTAAGGGTTATATTGATGATTAAGGCTGAAAAATCTAAATTTTTACCAGGAACAATAATTAAAAGTTAACTTAATTTTTAACAGTTTTAAGCATGTCAATTGTCAAAGTACTTTATCAAACCCTGAAAAGCTAATAATAAGATTTTTTCTCCAAAAAATAGCATAGAGATTAAAAAATTAAATAAATTTTTACTATTTGTTAGTTGGTGGACTAGTTTTTGTCTTAACGGCAATACGATAAAATATTCTACTGAGCACTTTTTTACATCAAAAGGTTGGGATTTTGAACTACTACTGACATGAAATTGTGTGCATAGACCAAACGATTAATAATAATACGGCGGCAGACAGGAAAGCATAACAATTAAGTATTAAGAAAGTAATACTAATCTGTAAAGTACCCTGTGATGGACGCCCCAGACCACCGCCACATGAGTGGGCCACAACATTCAGATTCCACCTACCCGTTCCATGCGGCCACTTAACCCCCACCAACTTTTCCAGCCAGGGGTTTTCAACTTAAAACGAGAAGCTTTAAAAAAATGGTTTACCTAAAACTTTGCTCGAGTTGGATATCAAACTTGCGCGCAGAATCAGTAAAATCTTTGTTAGAATCAACACAGGCAACCTTAAAAAGAACAAGTTTTTAAAATTGATATAAATAAATGAAAACAAATAGTGAATGTACAATTAAATTATGATATTAAATTAATAAAGGGCGAAACTAGAAAAGTGGACCGTCAATAATTATATTTCCAGATTTTTTCATCTTCATTAAGTTTCAGAAAAAAACATACATGGCGACATNCCTCTATTACAAGAATCTTCAAAAATCATTCTCTAAGGGTGGTAAATCTAAAAATATATACCCCTGTTATATTCAAAATAAAGCTATAACCTGCAATGAATATGAATAGCACAAGTACCTAGCCAGATGGCCTTGTCCAGATCCTACATCTATTAGACAATTCACGTTTATCTAAACACCCAACACTTATAGAATTTCAAACAAACAACAAAATTTTTCTTGTCTTGAATTTTTCTTTACAAACGGTTGAGTAAAAGAATTACTGGGATTTAGCCGACATAAAAATTGTGATTTGGATGGAATTGATATGCTTTGTGAATTAACTGTTTACTTTTCAAAGGCAAGTTGGTGAGTTGTTAAGCACTAATAATTTCACAGTGACAGAACTCTGAACAAGTTCATTCTTATACAAATTCACTATTCAGCTATGGTGAACTGCTTTCTGCAAAGTTTAGTACCATAGTTTCATGCTGCATTTGGCATTTTAGAAATATTTTGTCAGATTAAGTTGAACCAAAAATTAAAACCAGAAGTCGTAATACAGGGATAAACATTTTTTGTTATCCCTCTATCCCTCACACCCCTCCCAAAACACTAAAGTTTAAAAAGAAATTACCCAGACATACACGATATACCATCGTTATCGTCTTGACAGTGGGAACTCTTTTATCTGTTTGACACAAAATTAATTTTTATTTCATCCCTATATGCCATTTTTTTCCACATAATTCTTGATTAACTAAGTGTGATTTTAAGAAGTGCATGGAAACAAATATTCTATGGTACAAATACGTTATATACACCCCCAGCTTCTACCTGGTTCAATATATCATAAGTAAACTTTCCAAGTCTTGCTAATTCATACTGCTTCTTTGGTTTCACATGCTTCCTATAGTAATGAATATAAAATATAAAGAATGCACCAGAGACAGGTAAAAAAAATTTAGGAAAAGCAACTGCAGATCTTGAAAGGTAAAGTTATTGAGCTTTCAAATTCAGTAATTTCAAAATCTAGTCCTTGTATACTGACAAATTTTCAGATTTCTTTTATTAGTATTTCGGTACAATTTTAGTATCTTTTTATTGTACTGCACGCACAAAGGATATATAAAGCATGCTTGGGAAAACTATTGAATGATATCTTTAATAAGAATATTATGATTATTAAATAAAATCTAATAAGCCATTATGAGTAGTCTTCATTATTGCAAACACGAAAGTTACTCCAACAAAAATTTGCTTTTTTTAGTCAAAATAATAAAATACCATTTTTTCCGGGTTAAAAATCCTGAAAATTCAAACAATTTTAAACAAAGTCCATACTTTTAATACAATCCTCACAATTATTTGTTAGAAATAAAAAATCCGTACAATCCCTACATTTTCACCACCCGGAATACTAAAAGACTGAGGAGTTTGTGTGTAATATTAATAAAAAAATTATGAAAGATTGATAAATGCTTGATTCTAAATTCTCGCACCTAAAACCAATTCTTATAATAGAATATCTTGTGTGAAATATATTTACCTGAATATTTGCTTCAGGGTCGGATTTTTCTTCTCAAGAACACTTAGCATATCTTCGAAAAAACAGAACTTTTCCTTTTCCATTTTGTTCGAGTTTTGTTCATCCTCAACTTTTAAACCAGTCTCGATCTCTGAGAAGTTTGCCTTAGGAGAATCTTGTTTGCTTTTTTTTGATGCTCTTTCATTGAGAACTGTGGAATCAAGAAATGCTTTAACGAACTTGAAGTCGGATACCTATAAAAGAGAAGGGTAAAGGTGTCTTTGAAGTGACATTTAAAGTGAAATGACGACTGAAAAAATAACTTTTTGGTACATAGGGGGGGTTAGGGGTTCGGGCAAAGGATTATTGGCCTTCTTCTTCAGCTTATTCCCTCCGCTCGCACTTTGGTTCTTTTTTAGCACTTTAAAGTAGCCCTATTTAATATTTATATGTATTGACATTGTGCATATTTCTTCCAAAACGTAAAAATATCTGCTCCCAAATGAATATTTTAATCCTAAACAACCATGTTTCACCTCTGTCACCAAATGAGTTTCAATAGATTTATTTAGCGATAACATACCTGTTTCCTGCTCAAAGAAAGAGACAAAATACTTTTCTTAAATGCTAACAGTGATAACGGCCAAACCTGAGAACAAATATAATTATAGTAATTTCTTAAATTTTCTTCAAAGCTTTAGAAAATCAAATCAAATAGTATTTTTTAGTTCTTTTTAATACTTTTTGCTAAAAAACTAACTTCCAGACATTTTTAATTATTCCTTAATGTCTTAAATTGACATTTGAATTTTACTCACTTATTCAATTTTTAACATTATTGACTAGAATCATTTTCTAAAACATATGACCAAATTTTCAAATATTTTTATTTCAATTTGCAAAATTGTAAGCTTTACTCTGAAAAAAGTTTATGAGAAAACTATTGCTCATGGACTAGGATTTAATTGTGAATGGTAATAGAATACATTTATAGCATCCTACAATCGTATAAAGATTATCACCTGTTTTTGGTCTGCTGGAATGTTAGGATCCAACAAACTGGAAAAGGTAAAAAATATTAACGTATTTAATGACACACAATTTTTTCTAATTCTATTTTTGACTTTTTAGTTTTTGTGTCTACCCTTTTATTTTTTTTTGGGGGGGGGGGATTTTTTATAATATTTGCTTTTTCTTTTAATCCCTGATATTAAACAAAAGCGAAGAACCCAGGTAATAAAATAGCGACAACGAATTCATATTTTGACCTTCTAATGACTTCTAACGACCTCTAGTGACCTCTAATGACCTTCAAATTGAAAATGTTAAAACTATGGCTTTATGTATATCAAATGCAAATGAAAGCTAAGAAATTTGGAGGTCAAAAGAGGCCGTTAGGGGATCACATGAAGAGCAAACACCAAATTCGTTGCTGCTCCTGGATTACCTGGGTTCTTAGCTTTCTTTTGATATGCATAAAGCCATAGTTTAAACAATTAAATTTTTGTTTTCAATAGAGTTCGTTAGAGGTCATTAAAAGATGTAACACTGGATTTGTTGCAGCAACTGTATTGCCTGAGGGTCCTAGCTTTCGTATGATTTGCAAGAAGCATAGTTATAGCATTTTCAATTTTAAGGTCATTAGAGGTCGGCATAGGCCATAAAAGGTCATTGGAGGTCATTAGAAGGTCAAACAGTGAATCCGTTGCTGTTACTGTATTATTTGGGTTCGTAGCTTCCATTTGATAAAAATAAAGCCATTATTATCACATTTTTGATTTCAGGGTCATTTGAGGTTATTATAAGTCGTCAGAGGTCATTATAGGTCGTCAGAGGTCATTACAGGTCGTCAGAGGTCATTACAGGTCGTCAGAGGTCATTAGAAGGTCAAAATATGAATTTGTTGTGGTTTCTGTATTGCCTTGGTTTCTAGCTTCGTTTTATATGCATGAAGCTAAAATTGGAACATTTTCTTTTGGTGATTTAAGATCACTAAAGGTCATTAGAAGTCATAAATGTCCAATTTAATTTAATTTTAGGAAAATATATCACTAACTAGGCACACAACCAATAAATTGGAAGATTTGAACCAAAAATGAAGGAAGGGACCCCCCCCCCCTTCATCAAATAGGACATCTCCACCATCCCCTTTTCATATTTTTTTTATACGTGTTTTCTTGGTTCAAGGAGGTATACGAAAATTAATCTACCTTGCTAACGTTTGTGGAGAGCAATGTTTGAGAATATTACACCAGGATTCAGGAAGATGAGACCAATGAGAGTCTAAGAAAAAGTCCAAGACAAAACTATCAACCACCCAGCTGTAAATTTCAAGAAGTCTCACACATTCAGTAAGTCGTCGACGGATCCTTTCAATAGTTACGTCATTGACCTCCACCCAGTGAGACATTTTCGAACTAAATTAAAACAAAAAGTTAAAAATTCTATAGAATTGGAATCTTTAGTTCACATTTACTGTGACGTTAAATGTAGATATTATTATAAGTCTAGGGCTCCATGCTACTGACTGTTGGCGGTGCGTCTTTCCCGTAGCAAAATTTTCTTTTTTTGTTCCTATAAATTAAACGTCTTCATTCCTTGCTTAAATGTAGGCTGGTTTGTGCGTTTTTAAAATATTTTTTTATTCATTGCTAAAATGGCTAGAATGTAGATTTTTAGTTGAAGAATATTTTCAGCATTAAATTCAGCAGATAAAACTTTCACGAAAATTTACTCATACATTTAAGTCTTTTTGGGGGAAAACATGTTAAGAAAAGGATTAAAAATTAAGTCAAATTCTTAACTCCCCCCCCAAAAAAAAAAATTAAATGAATTATCTGTTAAAATGCATGCTTAAACAATTGCTTGCACTATAATAGGACTGTAAAAACTTTCATTTGATTTATCTTAATGTTACTTGAAAGTCTATTTATTAAAAATCCTATCTTGTAAAGTAGGATTTATAAGTTCTAATTTTTATTGCAAAGGAAGATCGTGCATCCCTATATGTATTTTCGTGCTGAACACTAGATGAGCTAGTTCTGCATTTTGCTAGGCACAGCTCAAAATGGTCACTAACTGATACAAACAGTACATTATTGTTGTCTGCCGCATTCTGCAAGAACTCTTGTAGAACTGGTTTCTGTTCGCGGCGTAAACAACAGCTAATACAGTACTCATACTCAATACAGCACTCAATCTGTCAAAAATAATTCCATTAATCTATAGAATCAAGAAAGCGTCAAAAAGGATGAAAAAAACTTATTTGTCAAAAAGGATGAAAAAATGTTATGTCTGTATTTTTGTTTTACTCCCATGAGCAAAATCATATCGAATGTTTTGAAAATTATACCGTATCAACATCTTTTAGTTATTTAATGTTGCTATTTCAATGAGGTTTATTATTTTTTTTAAAATTAGCAGTCATGCACGAGGGCTGAAAGTCCAGCCACAGCAATAATTTGTCCGAGCCACATTTTTAAAACTTTCTTGTTCAAGAATCAAGGCTTCTTCGAATGCTCGTTAATATTTATATAATCTTTATGAATTGTGAGTTTTATCCATATTATAAAAATCAAGCTACATTGACGTACACATAAATGAAATATTTACCGGGAAACTGGAAAAGTACTTTCATTTTAGTTTTCAAGCACTTGTCCTTGAATTCTATCTACCCTTTCTTTGCACGCATTTTTAGACATTCTATAGTTTAGAATGCCGCAATTCTTTTGTAAATAATATTCGAACACATCAATTTTTTCAGGTGGTTCAATGTGAAAAATGAAAGACAGCAAAGAATGGTACCCGCTCATCGAACCTTTCTGAAACAAACCTAACGTTTTTCTGACCTAACGTTTTTCCGACCAAAAATTCTGTAGGTTCAATAAGCGAAATGTCCCAAACTGACCTTAAAAGATTAAAAATATATTTAGGTCGATTATGAATATATTTTAGGTCGGTTATGCATATATTTTAAGACGGTTAAGTAAAAATTTTAGGTCAGTTGGGAATACATTTTAGATCAGTAAAGCAACAATTTTAGGTTAGAAAAACATCAATTTTAGGTCGGATGAGCAAAATATTTAGGTCGGATAAGTAAAATTTCTAGGTAGGATGAGCAATGTAATTAGGTCGGATGAGCAATATTTTTAAGCCGGATGAGCAATATTTTTTAGGTCGGATGAGCAATATTTTTAGGTCGGATGAGCAATATTTTTAGATCAGTTGAGAAATACTTTTTGGTCAGTAAAAATATTGCTTATCCGTCCTAGAATTATTGCTCAACCGACCTAAAATTATTGCTCAACTGACCTTAAAATATTCCTCAACTGACCTAAAAATATTGCTCATCCGACCTAAAAAAAATGCTCATCCGACCTAAAAAAAATTTCATTTAACTTAAAAATGTTGCTCAACCGATCTAAAAATATTGCTCATCCGACCTAAGAAAAATTTGCTCAAACGACTTAAAAAAATGCTCATCTAACCTAAAGAAACTGACCCAAGAATATTGCTAAACCGACCAAAAAAATTGCTCAACCGACCTAATATTTTAGCTCAACAAACCTCAAATTATTGCTTAAGAGACCTAAAATTTGTCACCAACCCAATTCTTAAACTTACTTCCTAGTAAACCGACCTAAAATATATGCTCAACCAACCAAAATATATCTCGAAATCTTTGGTCGGAAAACCTATATATTTCTATAAGAATGCCAAACGGACCTATAAAGCTTTTTTGACCAAACCGACTAAAACACGTGCAAACTACTCAATATTTAGGTCAGAAAACATTTAGGTTAGAATCATCTAGGTCGATTTATACGGCATCCGACAAAGTTTTGCTTTTCTATAATGAGAAAGTAAACATTACATACATAGTCAGTTAAGAGAATCAAATATTCAAAACATACTCCGAAGCTGTAAGGAGAACACACAATTTCACTCATAGCACACTTTTTTTATTAAAATATTCAAAACATACTCCGAAGCTGTAAAGGGAACACACAATTTCACTCATAACACACTTTTTTTTATTAAAATTTCAGCACTATTGAAAGAATGTTGAAAAGACAAGCATTTGAAGGTGGCTCGGAGCCTTGGAAGAAAAATATGGTTCAATCGGCACAGACGGCTCGGACGAGACCTTCCAGCCCTTCATTTATCAAATTATAAACTAAATTCAATAATAAAGAAAAAGAAATCTTATTTTGGTGTGTTGTATTTACAGGAATATCCTTGCCTAATAAAAAGTTACCAACAAACTTTTACCTTTGGATCACAAGACTCGCAAAGAAATCGACCAAGACTTGTGTTTATGTTACAGCACCCAGATCCTAATAGTTCTTCACGGGAGCATAAATACCCTTTTTATGATGAAAATAGAAAAACAGAATTTGTAAAGATTTATCTGTTTGTCCTGCAAAAGAATTTACTAAGAATTGCTTAGGCCCTTGAAAATACTTTAATGAAGAAAAAATTGTTCACCCATTTTGCATTTAAAAAGGCAATATTATTGTTGTCTCAGCGTTACTTCTTTCTATTTTTTCCTTTATCGTCGACAATAATTGCTTTTCCCTGCAAAGAGTTACGACAGGTAGTGGGAATAAAGTCGCTGGTATTAGATCTGAAAAGTAAAAACATGATAGCAAAAATATTTTACATTCGAAAAACGTTGGTGACATGAGCGTCGGTTTCGGTACATATATTCAACCCCTGACTAACTATCTAACCTTTCATATTTTTTTCTGAAAATTAATACATCTCCAAATTTTCTCTGTCAGGCCCAGATGGCACCTGGATCAATATTCTTTCAGTTTCACCCAGAAAAGCATGTCAGATTCACAAAATTCCCATAGGAAACTTTAACCCACATCCAAATTCTATGTTTTCAACTATTGATCAAAACTTCTGTAAAATAAATTATACAATTTGTTAAATATTTTTTGCTTCTGCCAAGTTCTGTTTTATTTCAGTTTATTTCAATATATTTTTACGACCAAATGTTGTGCGCTCCCGCTCCTGGATTAACCTATTATGGCGCACATATATAATTACCCGTTGGGGTGTCTGTACACACTGCACACTGCTCCCAGCACACTACAAACGATACCCCATACACAATACACAATACACACTGCACACTACACACTACTCACTGTACACTGTACACTGCACACTGTCAACTATAAACTGCATACTGCACACTGTTAACATTAAACTGTACACTGTACAATATACAGTATACACTGTACAATGCACACTTCACTCTGTATACACTCCAAACTGCACACTGCAAACTGCACACTACACACTACACACTGTATGCAGCACACTTCTCAGTGTACACTGTATGCTGCACACTTTACACTGTACACTGTATGTCACACACTTCATATTGTACACTGCACACTGCATACTGCAAACTGCACACTGTTCACTTGTGCTTATGCTGCACATTTCACACTGCACACTGCACACTGTACACTGCACACTGCACACTGCACACTGCACACTGCACACTGCACACTGCACACTGCACACTGCACACTGCACACTGTACACTGTACTCTGTAAACTGTACATTGCAAACTGCAGACACTGCGCACTGTACACTGCAAACTTCAAACTGCAAACTGAGTACGTCAAATGTATAATACTAGCCTTAGAGGGCGCTTCGCGCCCATCTTCTAAATTAATTGTAAACATGTTCTCTTTGTGTACATCGTAAAACAAAACAAAAATAATTCGCGGATTTTCACAAAAAAATTTCGTGGATTTTCAAAATGTTCAAAAAATTAATGAAGATCGAATTTTGATGGAGACAAATATTTGAAATTTTGATCATTCATAAACCTTCCCTGTGGTCACGTGATGTCCCACAAAAAATTTGGGCCTGATCGGTTCAGCCGTTTTGACGTTTATTGGATACAAACAAACAGACAGACAAACAGACAGACAAGCCAAATTTATATATAGACAGTACACTGTACACTGTACACTGTACTCTGTAAACTGTACACTTCAAACTGCACACAATGCGCACTGTACACTGCAAACTTCAAACTGCAAACTGAGTACGACAAATGTATAATACTGTACACTGCTTATTACAAACTGCACACTCTGAAGTAAGTAAATACTGACCACTACACTCTGACCAATGCACACTGCCCACTACACACTATACAATTCACACTGCAAAAACTGCCAAATGTGCATTGTGCACTGTGCGATGTACACTACAAACTGCACATTGCATACTTCAAAATGCACACTGCACTCTGTACACTGAACACTGCAATATGTGTACTGCACACTTCACTTGCTGTATATTGCAAACTGTACACTTAACTCTTTACATTGCACATTTCAAACTGCACACCGTACACTTTAACTCTTCATATTGTAAACTCTAGGCTGTACACTGCGCACTGTATAGACATGTGCCAATAGGTTAATCCAAATGCATCGATATAGTCGCGTGCCATAAAAGGTTAGTCCATATGCGTCGATAAATGAATTTAAAATGAATTTTAGCAAAAAAGTTTGGAAACATAAATTTATTAAAGATCCCTTAAGCAGCTGTCCTTGAAATTTCATGTAATTCTGTCGACAGGCGAGCTGGTCGGTATGAATGGGTTTGGGTTATATATGAATATTAAGAATATATACCCCTTTGATGAAAAACAAATGAGTCAAGCTTATTGGCAATTACCAATACCATGGAAGACAAAAATGACCGTGTTATGTCAATAAAAATGTTGCCTGGAGCGCTAATGCTTTAAAAGGGGATTAGCATGCACTCAAATTGAAATCTTTAAGAACTATGCAGAGATTAGAGAACATGGGTGTGTATTCTTCTGTTTCACGCCCCCCCCCCGTCTGAAGGAGGGTGGGGTGGCAAAAATATGAGCTTTATTAAGGGGTTGGCAGGAAAAATGGGACAGGGGATCGGATTGAGAAAAGGGAAGAAGGGGGAAATGGGGAAGAGGGAAGGGAAAAATGAAGGGGAGGGGAAAAAGGAGGAAAAAGAGGAAATTTGTTTTTAATCTTCTAGTTTTGGCTCACAGAGAAACAATATAATATGTTTTCCGAGGAGAGAAGGCAAGGAAAAGGGAGAAAAGGAAGAAGAAGAGGTAATTTATTTTTTAACTTAAAAATGTGACCAAGATGTGATTATATTAAACACATTTTATTAGACATTTTATAATTAGATTGCGAATCTTTCCATTAATTGAAAGTTTTGTATGTAGTTGTTTAACAAACGAACTTTATTTTCATTTTAATTGAAATTTTTTCTTATGTTGAAAATATCCTAAATGTTTTGGAGAAAATCCGGGAACCATTCAAAACGTTACTGCACACAAGCTATAATGTACAGCTAATTTAACATTATAGCACAATGATTCTTTATAGCATGGTGCTATAATGTACTGCTAATTTAACTTTATAGCACGATGATTACTTAGCAAGTTCGTAATGAAATTCACAATGAAGTGAGTAAGAATGATAAAATACACAATAGTTAGTTAGTTACATAAAATGTATTAAATGTTTGTACCCTTGCACAGTTACTTGGTCCGATTCCCAGTTGAAGGGTTGATTCAATTTCCGCAGATGCAAAATATTCGATTCTTCCTCACTGTGTTTACATTAATATCAACATGTATAAATACTTAATAAAGACTAAGTACTGCGACTTGAAACTCGGTTCGCCCCCCCCCCCCTCCCCTCTAGTTGCGAGCGGTTCAAGACGCATCTTTTGATACCCACCCAAATTAACATGTTTTGAAAAAATAAAAAAATTGAACGCGCATTTTTTTAAATCGTTAAACCTAAATGCGTTTTGATTCCTTAATTTTTTTCCTTAACCAATCTTGCTTTTTGATTTGCTAGCTCGTGCAAAAAGGATTCGACATTTTCGATGAAAAAGTGTCACCCTTTGGTAATTTCATCTTGTACGCTTTTTGGGTCTTTTTGGACCCCCCCCTTCTGCCCACCCCCCTCCTATAAATTTTGAACATAATAGGACAGGCTAGGGGGCCGATCGCCGAGGTTAGGACAGGCTAGGGAAATGGGTGCCTCGGACACATGACCAATTTTTCCGTGTTGAGGCGTTTCCATAGCACCTTATATCCATGTGTTACATATGAGAATCATGTAGAAAATTGAAAGGAGGGGGGCGCGGGGGCATCTAAAAATAATTCTCTAGGAAATTACCCGCTTTTTGGATCCCTCCTATGAATTATATACATGGTGCTCATATGTTACACATGTTAAAATTAGGACATGTGGCTGCAGCCTGTCCTGTCGCGGCGCTCGGCCCCCTAAACTTTTCTAGCCGCAGTGGTAGGCCAAGAAAACGTAATAACCTTCCTACATTTATTTGTAAATTTTTTTTTGAAAAATTTTGGTAAGGTAAGGGGGGCGGGGTCAAAAATGCGTTCTAGAAAGGACAGACCCCACCCTTTATTAATAACATAAAAAAATTATAATAGCATCAAAATATAAAAATTCAAATTGTAAATGTTGAAATCCCTGTAGCAGAAAAAACACTCCACCCAGACCAGTTTCCCAAGTAGGAATACAGCTATAGAACTCAGTAGGATAAGGAATAAAAATCGTCGTCGTATTGTTCGGAAACAGACAAGTAATCCAGACATTATACATTTGCTTCTAACATTTTATTTTGTCTGAAAGAAAACACATAATTGAATCCAAAACTTTCAGTTTCACTTTCACAAAAGTAATTATCTTTATTCCTCGTTTAACAATTTTTACGATTCTTTTGTTCTATTCCATGGGACATACAGAGCGTCCCATATTATGTTAGATGATCTCCAAGCTTTTACGCCAAAATAACGAATAATACTCGAAAACTTCGCATTTCCGTAAGAAATTTCTCATATGCCTTATTTTATTTTCGGGTCCGTTCTAGTATACCCCCTCCTATCAATTTTGTACATGACCACTTATTTTTCAGCAAAATTATTATTATAGGGTTAGATAAGGTTAAGACAATTTATGGGCCGAGCGCTGCGGCTAGGACAGGCTAAGGAGTCGAGCTAGCCAGGAGCCGAGGCTAGCGGGCTGAGCGCCGCAGCTAAAGGACAGGCTAGGTGGCCGGGCGCTACTGCTACATGATCAATTAATTTCATGTGTTACATATTAGATCCATGTACAAATTTGATAAAAGGGAAGGGGGGGGGGGTCCATAAATCATTTTCTAGGAAATTACCTTATTTTCAAAATAATTCATTCTAATTAATTTTTATATTTAGCCCCGATTCCAGAAAAGCGTAATTTAGACCTATATGACGGTCTAATAAGATGTGTGACACCCTGTTATTAAACACCTTCTCCTATTCCTCGGTCACTTCTTTGATTGATTATCGTTTATTTCTTAATGCCTTATTACTGGCACCTTAAATATTCCGTCACTCTAAGTCCTCCGAGGTCTCTTCTGGACACTACGTTGATAGATTGATAAACGTTTATTTCTATAAGCACTTTGAGCAGGCGTCTTAAATGTTACACTGCATTTAAAGGCATGCCTAATAAGAAGATTTCTTCTGATACAGGGTGAGTTTAGTGCGAGAGATTCTGGGCCGCGCGCTGTGGCTAGGACAGGCTAGGGGCCGAGCGCCGCGGCTAGGAAAGGCTAGGGGGCCGGGCACTGCGGCCGCAAGTCCATATAGAAGCTGTAATACCACGTGCCAGTAGGTCGGATGTGTAATATAGCGGATTTGGCGTAGGTCAGAAATGGAGTATGGCGGACATGTGCTGGTCGAAAAATACACCACCCTCTTTTTGTTATAAAAACAAACAAAAAATCAAAATCAGCCCCAAGTGATGTTATGCGTCAAAACGATGGATCAAATTATGGAAAATTGGCCGTAAACTCAAATAAATTAAATTATTATTGTTTGTTTATAATATTTACAGAAACTTGCGCATTGCCTCGTAGCATAACCAGAGTTTGCTGCAGGGACGAGTTCTCTCCAGGCCTGACAATAAAAATTTCACAATAAGAACTCTTAGAAGAACAGCTGGAATACTTTGTACCGGCGCGTTCATCCAGTCGTCTTTGATATCAGAGAACTTACAGGGTATCCCACGAAACATGACATTTAATAAATCGTTATTTTTAGTTAAAAAAATCTTTTGCTTCATTATCTTTTTCTTTGAAATCAATTTTAATTTAAAATGACTTCCATATAAAATTTTTATTGATCTTGGTATCAAACAACTTAAAAAATTATGGAAAAATTGACATTCTAAACTATTTACCAACTGTCATGGTTCGTGGGATACCCGGTAGTATAATTCTTTTTTTTTCTCCAAATTCGACAAACTTGTAATAAATATATCGTTAACATGTAGCTCAATTTAAAATTCCAAAAATATGATCCAAACTTAAACTGTAAACGTGTTGATTTGTGCAACAATGTTAATTGTAAAACTTGAAGTATACCACATCTTGAAGTATCCTTTAATATTTTCCTTTTCGTAGAGCATTTACAAGCAGGGGCGGATATAAGGATTCTGTAGGGGGGGGGGAANACTTTTACTATCATGAAAATAGAAGTTTTTACATTTGAGTGCAGACTAATCAATAGGCAATGTATTTTATTTTGAAGTGAAGGGGTCAAGGCAACTGTATCTTGTAGAGGCAGCAAGTGGAGTAACCCCTGCTATTCAGGGCCTGAATATATGTTCATGGGTAATTACCTCCAAGATTCTAGGGGGTGGGGGTAATTACCCCTAGGATTCTAGGGGGGTATTTACCACCAGGATTCTAGGGGGGGGTATTTACCCCCAGGATTCTAGGGGGGGGTATTTACCCCCAGGATTCTAGGGGGGGGTAAATAACCCCAATAACCCCCCTTATATCCGCCACTGTTTACAAGCTCGGCGAATTCGGCGATACTTGAAAAATGACCCTTTTTTCAGCCTGGTATAGTTCTTATCTTATAGCTCTTTGAATGAAATTTCCCAAGTCATTTAAAATGACATAAGCTATGCTTCTACTAAATGTTGCGCCTTTTCTACGTTTTTTTTTTTTAATTTGTAAAGCGTTTACAAGTTTAGCGAGTTTGACGATATATACGGAAAAAGACTTTTTTTGCAGCAGCAGCTGTTAGTTATAGCTTTGATTGAAAATTTCAAAATTTTGGTAATTTAAAATGAACCAAGCTACTGCGAAATTTCATCGCTATTTCATGCATGTGTCGTAAATAACGGGGGTTATTTGGGTTATTTACACCCCCCTCTAGAATCCTGGGGGTGATTACCCCCCACACTGCCATTTTCGGGTGAAATTTGGACGAACAAACAGAATTTAATATATGAGGATCTGTAGTCAAATAAATATGAAATATTTCACTGCAATTTATAAAAACATGGAATGTTTAAAGCTTGACAACTAAATAACGTTAAAGTTTTTTTAAAAAGATGCAAATTAACAGAAAAATATGTACATTTGTATATTTTTATGTAAATTTATTGCAAAAATCCCCATTTCTTTTAGTTCCCGGGAAAACTAAGCAATCTTTGTGAAGCAAAAAAGTTAGATTTCCCCCCCCCCCCCCTTGGTCTTTTGGTTAATACATCTTTTTATCTCTAAAACAGGGTTTCATAAAAAATGATAAAATATAATATTGATCTATTTGTTCTCTATGATAGATAGATACTCATGGGAAAGATAATTAGCATTGGGTGTGAACATATGGGAAATTTGATACAAGGACCCTGGAATTCAACCCTCCCCTTCTTTGCGACCCTCCTCCCTCAACGTCCCCCCACGCCCCCATCGGGCTTCTTAAATACCGACACACTGGTCACAGGATATAGGATTATTTATTTATAATTTTCTCTATTTATATCTAAAACATTAGTCTATATACTACTCAGTGACATGTATAGAACATTTAGTTGGTGAAGTGAAAATATTTTAGTCTTTCTTCTCAGTTTATGGTAAGAATTGCATGTTTGTTTTTCTATCACATTTGAACGAGTATAAAGCAACTGATTACTTACAGGGTCTCTATGAAAGAATTTATTTTAGCTTTTATGCCCACTATATAACATCGTTCTATTGTACTAATAGTGCTTCAAATTGGTATTATGCCCATAAATCGATAAAACTTTTTTCTCTATAATGCCGTTTTACCTTCAAAAGTATGCCTATTTGTGTTTTCGCCCACAAAATGCTGTTCTATTGTGCTTAAAATTGTATTTATTTGTTCCCCCCCCCCATAAAACAAAATTTAGTGGGCAAACAAGCTTAAATACACTTTTTTCAGAGATACACGGTATAGCTTTGCATTCTGATCGTGTAAATCTTTGACAAAGGGTTTGTGTAGGATAAACTAAGGGTTTCTGTAGGATTAACTAAGTTTTTGTGTAGGATAAACTAAGGGTGTGTATAGGATAAACTAAGTGTTTGTGTAGGATAAACTAAGGGTGTGTAGAATAAACTAAGGGGCTGTGTAGGATAAACTAAGGGTTTGTGTAGGATAAACTAAGGGTTTGTGTAGGATAAACTAAGGGTGTGTATAGGATAAACTAGGGGTTTGTGTAGGATAAACTTAGGGTTTGTGTAGGATAAACTAAGTGTTTGTGTAGGATAACCTAAGGGTTTGTGTAGGATAAACTAAGGGGCTGTGTAGGATAAACTAAGGGTTTTTGTAGGATAAACTAAGGGTTTGTGTAGGATAAATTAAGGGGCTGTGTAGGATAAACTAAGGGTTTTTTGTAGGATAAACTAAGGATGTGTATAGGATAAATTAAGGGTGTGTATAGGATAAACTAAGGGTTTATGTAGGATGAACTAATGGTTTGTGTAGGCTGAACTAAGGGTTTATGTAGGATAAAGTAAGGGTTGTGTAGGATAAATTCATAGAATTAGCATTTAAATTTTTTTTTGTTTTTTTTCTTAATGTAAAAAAATATTGAATCGAAAATATATATTTTTTTGCTAATTTTTTTATTTTTAAAATTTTTTTTGAAAAAAGATATTCCAGGGCCCACTTAGTAGAGTTCCAGATCATTTGGGTAGTCACTAGTCATTCCGAATTTCAACTAATATAGACAGTGTGCCCCCCCCACCCCTAGTATCCTAGAATGATTTTTTTTAAGTATTTTAAATGATTCTAAATTCTAAAGTATAATTTAGTCAATGTCATTACAATATTAGATGTTTTTTAATAGAAAAAAGGGTATGAGCAATAAAGAATACATTTTTACTTAAATAACTTCATTTCCATGTTCTTTGATCTAAACATACTCATACATTGACGACAAGAAAATTTTAGAAATTAGAAATTATAGAATATAAACAAAGACAATGTTTTCTCAAAGTTTTGCAGAGTTTTACAAAAATTTCCCCCCCCCCCCCACTCCCTAAAGAATTTGATTTATGCCCCTGGCTTTTTCTTCATTCTTTTAATTGTATAGCCCGTAATATATACATCGACTTCTTGTGCTTTATATGTGCAAATATGATTAATGGTCGGACAATTAACAATTGTTTTGTGTATTTTAGGTAAAACTGGTGCATGAGGGCTCAGGCCCAGACTTCGATGGGGGGGCCTTCCCCCTCTGGATACGGTGCAAACAGTAATAAAACGAAGAGGTAAAGCTTACCTCAGATGTACACAACCGACTTCCCTATTAATTAATCAATAGAGTGGTCGGTTGTGTACATCACGATAT